AATATTTTTATCTGACCAGTTTCTTAATCTTATTCGGGAAAACATAAAAAGCCACAAACAGCACTTATGCCAATTAACAAATTAAGTTTGGTTAAATATCCTAGAATATGCATACAAAATAATTTCACTTACCATCTATCTTTAAATGTGAAGTAGAAGAGTGAATTTGTTATTTTGGCACCACTTTGTCCACTGAACACAAACATGGAATCTCGAGCAACAGCAACTGGGAAATTACAGCAGGTTGGAGGACAGTCACCAGTCTGACTGATTTCTTCCCAAAGTCTGTTTTCACCCTGTTAAAATTAACATTAATATTTCTATTCTTATCTTTGTTAGCTATTCATTATTATCACTCGGTAAACAACATGTAGGTCGTGTTGAACTTTCTTCAATGGAAGAATGGAAAGTAAAGTAAATACTTCTATTGGTTGGGAAAAATTGCACAATAAAAGAATTATGGAAGAATGATTTTTCAAGCAAACACTCAAACATTGGAAATCAAAGTTAGCCTGACAAAGAAGTAATACATCTACTAATAACAGTCAACATGTCATGTTCATTCTTGGAAGATTGCTTCTCTTTACAAGTGATCATCATTATATAAACTTTTCCCTTATATATATAATACATATATATATTATATATATAATATATATATATTATATATTATAATATATCTACTGAAACTCGCTGCACAAGTTACGTATCATTCTGGTTAACTTTATTCCTTTTCTTTTTAGTTCTCTTTAACTTTCTTTCTCATTCATTATCTTCATCATTCATAAGTAACAATGTAAGAGGACTTGGGTTAGAGAGCCCAGGAATAATAATAATAATAATAATAATATAATAATATAATAATAATAATAATAATAATAATAATAATAATAATAAAAAAAATCTCACAGGAATAAAAAATTACCAATACAACTTCTTAAGAGAAGAAAGTGAATCTTTGCCTTACCACAAGTGGAATTGTCCACATGTCGTTGAGTCTGAAATTGCCATCGTACCCAGCAAATATCCACAACTTTCCTTCATACACTGCTGCTCCATGAGCTGACCGTGGGACTGGTGCTCTGTAAATAAGTGAAAGCAGACAATTCAAATTTTTTGCAAATTAAACTTTGGTTACATATGCCTGTTGATCTATATGGTGTGCCTGAGAGTATGTACATATACACCTGCAAGTATAATGCACAAAGGCAGGGATTTTTCCCCAAAGTTATACCATATTTCTGATATTAAAAAGTAATTTCCTTTTACTGATCTATCAAAGCCATACCTGCCAGTAAATTTCCACTCGATCCACTGTCCTGTTTGGAAACGGTATTCAAACAGGTCATTCTGATTCTTGAGATTGCTGTTGCTGTGGATGTCTCCAGTGAAACCTCCAAATACAAACATGGATGACTCATGTACCTGTTAGCATAGAAAAATACCAATGGGCATGAAAGGGAGCTACAATTCAAATGCTATAGGGAAATCAAAACAAACTGTAAGTGATATGATACCAGTGAAAAATACTAACTAAACTTGTAATCTAAAGAACTACATAAGAATACACACACACAAAGAAAATAATTGAATGAAACCACCAATATTTACAATACTGTATACAAACTATGTGCAGCTACATTATTGAACGTTATGAAACAAACATACAAGGTTAGAATGTGATATTTATCTAATGAGAAAACCAGGCACTAGTTATTTCCTTTCCTTTTGTTTTCTAATGCTTCACAGCAAAAACTGTTCATAATGAAAGATGATATTACAATGAAGGAGAAGAGTAACAGAGAAAAGAAGAACCAGGAAATGGAAAGGAAAAAACAAAATCAATTAAAAATAAGTGTATCATTCAATATCATTCACTTTAAGAAAAAAGGGTACCTACCACAGCTGAATGATGGTATCGTGGGGCAGGTGGGAGGCCAGTCGAGAATGCTCTACCCCATGACTTTTCCTTGACGTCAAACCTGAGCAGGTCATTCAACATCCATTTGCCATTGTCTCCACCAAACACATAAATTGCATCCTTAAGGCCACCACTGTGTGTTTGCTTCGCCTGATGAATACAAAGAGAGCAAATGAAAATTATATGCTATGTGATTGGTTTATTATAAAGACTGCACATGGTTAGATCTCTAAATCAAAAATACATTTTCCATTTATTCTTCAATTCATTGCTTGGGTTAATGTCATCTGAGAGTGATGAAAATTCTTTTGTAAATTTTTTGGTAAATTATTATATGACACATCTTTGGAGCTATGACAAATACTAGCAATCATCTACCATATTATTCTGACTCTTGGAATTTAATTACAAGAAAGTAGTTCTGTTTTGGTTGCCACTGTGGGTGCCACATTAGCAGTTACTAAACAATTAGGTAAGATCATATCTACTTTTGCAATTTAAAGTCAAATCAAATCCTTATCAATGATTCCTCCTATTCAACCAAAGGGGAGCATTCCTTTGTAGCAGCATCAGGTAACT